ATTCGATTTCAATTGATTTTAATTATTTCATGTAATTAATCAATTAATTAAATATTCGTCTAATTAAGTAATTATTCATTTTTATTTGATTTTAATTGATTTTAAAAGGAATTTAAAGGCGGCCCTACAAAATCCTTTCAATAAATATTTATTGTTAGGGGGGGGAGGGGGGGGGGACGTCGTTTATTATTAGCGGGAAGCGATTAATATCTTATGTAGGCAAGCACAGCCAGCCTTCAGCCCCACTGCCAACACCAGTCTGCCCGCCCTGCCGAGCTGAAAGCGGATCAGTTCTGCACGGGTCTGTGGGGTCCACTGCTGAGCCTACGAAATTGCCACCCTCATCTGCTAATTGCACCGCACCAGTCACCAAGCCATGCTTGTTCGTGCGTCATGGTCTGGCGACGTTTTGAAAAAGCCTGTAATCAATTGACAGGTGCGTTTTCGCACAAGCCAACAAACAACTGCGATAGACTTGTTGGAGTCTTTCAACTCTACCGGAGTCACGGGCTCCTCAGACCAAATGATGCAGAGGCGCAATCGTAGTACCGAGGCGTTGAGAGATATTGAGACGTGAACCGTGTATGCCTCTTCCTTCGTCACCTCTGAGAACCACCTCACCTGTGTGGGGCATTTTGCTGCAAGGCCGTGAGTGCAACGATCAGAGACTCCCACCTTTCCGATGGCTGACGCATGGTGCGGCCAGGAGCGTGGAAGCAAGGCCTGCCAGGAAGTCACTTTTACATACTTTTACCAGAACACCAAGTGTACCAGATTGCTGATAAGTCTATGCTCCCCGTCAACTCAGGTATGTCCTTATTCATGTCAAAGGTCAAAGCTTGTAATGCGGACACCTGGCCGCCGGAGAGCGGTGGCCGCGAAAGTCCTGCAGCACTCCACAGCCACACACCCGAGATCTGTCTAGCTGCAATGCTTCACAAAAAGAGGTGAAAAGAGGCCTCTCCATGTTAGCGAGCAAGCTGCTACTCTGCATCACATATGCTCCCACGGCCCTCGGAGCTCTGCCTTGAGCAGTCCGGAGGACCACATGGGCGCCGGCAAGCAAGGAACGCATACTTTTACAAACTCTCCTCAACTGCTCACCTCGAAACCTTTCGATGTCGGTATTCAAGCTGCTTCTCTGTCAAGGGAACCACTTGAAAAAACAAAATGGTACAAGGCGGCTCAGTTGGGCGTGCTGGGAAATGCTGGATCTGCTTGTTGCTTCTGCCTTCTGAGATTTGCGAACTCAATCCACTTCCGTAAGCAAATTAACAACATGTAACAATCGCATGCAAAACGTTCAAAGCCGTTGGTTGACGTGTTTGGCACCGCAACGACCTCATTTGTTGCTCAAGTTTTTGGAAGCGATGTGCCAAGATGTGCTGCAGCTACTCTGGGAAGCCCCCACTCGCGCACCATGGCTGGGGCTTTGCAGACACCGAGACAAGTCCAAGGATGCAGAAGAGGTATAGTCGAATCACAAACTGTGTTATCTAGAGGTCTGATGAAGCGTGTTCCCATGCCCGCAACTTAGCCCAGGAAAAATTCGTGAAACAACGTGAAGGTAAGGCACCTTGGCCTCACACACGCAGCAGGGCTTCGTAGTGCCCTTGTCCATGGAATAGCACCCGAATGGCCTCTCCTGGTAGCTCCTGTGGTCCCAAGCGGCGGGTGCAAGGGCGCAGCAAGGGCTCTCGCAATTTGTGCCTGGGAGTAGGTGAGGAGGTGCTTGAACTGCCCGTCCTCCACCAAATACACCTGAAGGCAACGCTGCAGGCCCTGCCACGAAGGTCGATGCTCGAGCTGAGCCCTTGGCCTCCAGCGGCATCTCCAGGACGTGCTGCGAAAGCATTAGGAGCTCGGGCTCGCCGCCCCAAGTTCCGGGCCGAGCCATCCTGCAAGTGTTCAACAGTCTTCGCACAGCTAAAATCATCGTAGGACCCAGGTGAGCGGGGCAGCCGCGGCCTTGCCACATACTCGTCAAAGTCGCCCTCCACTATCCAGCCGATGTCCTGCCGAGCGTGCCCAGCTGGCATTTGCACAGAGCAAACAGGAGTTGCACACCGGCGCACCTCGCGCCGCTTGATGAGCTCCTCCACCGCAAGCCTGCGAAGTTCCTGACCAGCATGGCGCATGAAGACGACGGAAGGAAATAATGGATCCAGTCCCGATTGCCTTGGACCGCTTGTCTTCCTCAGCCAGACTGAGGGTGCGTCGATGTTTCACGGCAGACTCGCCTGCACCAGAGGTCTGCCACGCACATTTGATTGCATCCCGCATCCGCGTTCCCCTGCCTTGCGCGACCGAACGGAACAAGCAATTGCCATCGCCTCCCACCGGCAACACACCTGCCAGCGGAACCTCTCACTTCCCTGCCCCGCTCGAATAGTGCAAATCCATAACTCCCGCTTCAGTGCATGAATTCTTGCCAAGTCACGCCAGCCCGGAAGGCTCATGGCCTCAGGTTGCAAGTAGCGC